CAAACTTTTCTTTCCTAATGAAAATACTGACTTTTCAAAATTTACCTATCAAGCTCTTAAAAAAAAGAACACTCTAAAAAAATAAATAAATAAGCTCATACTCATTTTTTCTTCTCTTGATTGCGATCTGATTGTTTTAGATAATCAAGCGTGACCATCTCCATTGCATCAAATTAGCGGTGAGAAGAGGTGAGAGAGAGCTTCATTGTTTTTTTTTTTTGCATATACATGGAGAGAGAAAGGGAGGAAGAGATAGAATTGGGATAAAGAGAGAGGAGGAGAGTGAGATAAAGAGGGTGAAAGGAGGAGAGAGAAATAAATAAGAGAGATTTAGAGAGGGAGAGATTAGAGAGATTTAAGGAGAGAGGGATGAGTGAGAGGAAGTAAAAAATGAGAGATTTAAGGAGAGAGACAAGAGAGACTACAAGAAAGATTTAAGGAGAGAGATTGTGGGAGAGATTTAAGGAGTTGGAAACCTTTAGTTTTGAAACTATTTGAAAAGAGAAGAAAATTTTTAAAAAAGTAATATACAATTTTTTTTAAAAAAGTAAGGATAAATTTTAAAAAAGAGAAGAAAAAGACAGTAACATACAATAATGGGGAGTGATTTAATGCAACAAATGTATAGTAATATTTTAAACCGATATTCAAAAACTGTGTTAAGGCCATTTTCTTCAACCCTAGGTTTTAAATATACACCATTTTTATTTCATTGAATAATCACAAAAAATAAAATTTGAAAACAAACCCTACAAAGTGTTTTTTTTATCCCAATTTACATATATCGTTCATTTTGGAAAGAAGCTTAGATCTAGGCCTTAAAAGGATTTTTCCATTTCACAATTTTTTAGATAGTTTTATTATAATTAGATGAACAATATATATAAAAAAAAAATTTGAGTTTGTAAAGTCACAAATTTTGAAATTTTACCAAATAAATGGTCTATATTCATTGGTTGAGGGGACTCCTTTTGACCATACTTAGGGTTCAAATTATATTTTTTCGAAATTGATTATTGGGGTGAAAAGAGTACGTGTATAATTTTTAGGGTTATATAGGTGTCACAAACATGATTATTTAGAAGTGTGATTTCATTATATTATCTACAATACATAATTAAGTCAGAGTTAAGGGCGGACATGTGCTGCAACAATAAGGAGGGGTCCTAATTCTATAGAGATTACATGACATAATCCCAACTTTAACTGAAGAGGGAGAAAGAACACACCCATTTTAAGATAACTAAAACAGAGAGAGAGAGAGAGAGAGAGAGAGAGATAGAGTATGTATAAGAGAGAGATTTCCATATTAATTCCTTATATATGCACATATTTTATATGATAATGACTAAGTGAGAGAGAGAGGGATGGCGAGAGAGAGTACACACAATCTAAACTTCGACAAAGTGTTACCATATTAGTAGTAATATTGTACTCGTATCTTAATTAGAGAGATAAAAAGAGTAGGGGTGGCAATGGACCCGGACGCAATCGGGGAGCCCACCCACCCAGTCTGGGTCCAAACCTTGGACCCGAACAGTATTTGGTCTAGGTCCGGGTGCATGCAGACCCAACTTGAATGGTATTAATATTTAAATAATATTTAATATTTAATTTATATTAAAATAAAAATAACTATATATTTTTAGTATATTTAAATAATATTTAAAACTATAATTTTAATAAATTTAAGTAATATTAAAACAATATAACTATATATTTTAGTTATAGTATTTAAATAATATATATATATATATAGTTTAATATATAATATATTTAAATTTATATATTTATCAGTATTTCAAAAAGAGCTAGGCGACACCTAGGCGGTCGGGGGGTCCAAGCCGCCCAACGCATAGGTGGGCACCCAGAACCTTGGCTATCCAGTAGAATTTTTTTTTTTTTGGGTTTTTCTCTCTCTAAATTAGGTTCTAATGGGTTTTAGGTTTCAAATGAACCTAAAACCCACAATTTTGCACCTTTAGTATTAAAAAAATAATCCAAAAATACCCTCAACAAGGGGCTTTTTTGCCCCTGGGAGCGGTGTAGGCCCTGAGTGGGCGTCCAGGGATATCCACTTTTTTTGGGCGCTGGGTGATGCCCCCAGGCCTCCAAAACCGACTCGGTGCTAGGCGATCCAATCAGGTTTGGATCTGAGTCCTATAATTTTTTTCAGGTTGGAACCAAACCCGGACTAGACCTGTTGCCACCCGAGAGAGAGAGAGAGAGAGAGAGAGAGAGAGAGAGAGTAGTAGTA